ATCGTGTATGTGTGTGAAAATATTACTCTTACTTTGATGTGTGTAGAAGCATATATTTTTCTTTCTTTCTTTAGTTTTTCACCAGGCTGCATGTTTTTATGAAAAGTCAGTGTTAAACATTGTAACTTTGGATGTTAATCAAAGACACTGCAGGTTTGCCTGAGTGTCTCGTCCTTCAAAACTCTTACACATAACATGCACTAAGGCCAGCCCTAACACTGTCCTATGTTAATGAATATTGACAGTATCTTTATAATGCTAAACGATTGTTTTTCCAGCTGACATTAAATCTAACCCTAGTCATTCACATTTCATTCATTTTGGTCTTTCGTGTACTTACGTGTGTAAATCCTTTTTAAATTTATACTAAATTATAAAAATATATTGTGACAATGGAGGACCCGACAACAGCAGTGTTGCAGTTTAACACATCCTTTATTGACAGACTTCCCAACATGCGCAGCTTTCTGGCTGCCCTGCTCCTGTAGCACACAACACCGCCCTCTCCTCCGGTCCTGGCAACATCTTTAACAGGGGAGACATGATTAGATGATCGGGGTCAGGTGTGTCAGCCTCCCCTGACAGTACACTCTGAACTCCACTGCTCCACCCTTCCCCTGCAGCTGAGCCACACCCCACCACATATATATTAATGTGCCTGAATAAAGAATATCCAGGTTGTGTCAAAAAGAATCCTCTGATTTCAAAGAGCTTAATTTCAAGGCCACTCACCGATAACGACTTAATCTCGCATTGTTAAAAAGAGTGGATCTGTGAGCAGCATAACGACAGCAGTGGCTGCATTGACTCAAAAGTATGGGACAGATTTGACTGTGGTATGGACTAAAGCTGTGTGTCTGGAGGGGGACACATTGAGCACTTGGGAATATTGTTTTTATATTCTTTTTTCTTTTCTTCTTCTTTTTTTTTAAAAGTATATTCTTTACTTTAAAAAAGTGTCACCTTTTGATATCAGATTCTTTTCGATACGCCCTGTATGGATACTACATCTGTCCATTTTGGGGTTGGGTTTTTTTTTTTTTTTTTGTAAATTCCCAAGTAAGCTCTCTCCAGAGTAAAGAGGTGGTGGTTTATTGTGTATGTTTGTGTGCATTTCAGGCTGCAGAGGAAGGTGGTGAGACTGTAGCTTGTTACAGTGTGTTTGTTAACCTGGTGGAAGGAGAAGAAACAGCCAACAGTCGCTGGAGCGTCCAGAGGAAACTTACTGAATTCCAAATGTTGCACCGCAAACTTACAGAGGTAACAAGGCACCAATCCTGCACACATGGATCAACAGCTGCTGCCTTATTGTTTAAATGCTTCATGTCTCCTGCACAATAAACCAGTAAGGTCATCAGCTCACTGTGTAGCACTGAAATGGAAAGACTCGCAACAAAAAAATAATGTGATGATGGATTTACTGCAGCCTACGTGCTACAGAAAGCAGAGACTGCTGTTTGTTAGAAGCATTTCCAGTCCTCTGTGTGACTATCTGTAGTCACTGTACAGTGATAAATTGGTTTAGATGAAATCTAATATCTGTGACATCTGGAGAGCTGCATGCTTTTAGTCAGTCTGCTCTATTGACTAGTTTATGGTTGTTAATGCATTTCTGAATCTAACAAGAGTAAACAGAGTAGCTGTTTAAATCAAAAAATACACATATTTTGCCTCCTGTTAGTGTAAAATCATCACCTGTTAATGTGTCTCTCCTTCAGTGTTTTCCATCACTGAAGAAACTCCAGTTACCATCACTCAGTAAACTTCCCTTCAAATCTATTGACCAGAAGTTTTTGGACAAAAGCAAAACACAACTCAACACTTTTCTCCAGGTAAACAAGCAGCTGCTGCATAGATATTTTATATCTCTATCACCTGCTGTGATACAATTACAAATGCTTCACTTTATCTCTACATTGTTAATTATAACACACAAAAACCAGGGTGCTTAATCACAACCCATTTCAGTCTATGACATGTGTGAGCTCTTTTAATTAAATATTACACTGTAATGAGGTCTGTAACCTTATGAAGTCTGTGCTCACAAAAGCTTATTCTGCTTATGATCACAGCTGTTGATGATAACCTCAGGTGTCTGTGTGTGTGTTAGCGTCTCCTAACAGATGAGCGGTTGTGCCAGTCAGAGGCTCTCTATGCTTTCCTCAGCCCGTCTCCAGAACATCTGAAGGTGAGCCATTTCTCATATTTCAATTTTAAAAAGAACAGGGAATAATATATGCTTATTTCCATAAGTGTTTGCACATTTCTTTTTTAAATTTATTGCCTGTACATAACAACAATGGATTTGAAATAAAGTTAACTCAATGGGATTAACTGACATATTAGATCAGCTCTGTAGGAGTTACAGTTTCCCTATTTTTACAGATTCATAAGTGATAAGATTGTACATATAATTATTTTCTTAATTCTTCACGTTTAATGACTACCAGTCGTTTGCAGCCCATAGACCTCATGCGATGCTGGATTTTCCTGTCTGAGGCTATAAATTTCAATTTTTATTTTTTCATAAAATAATGAAGAAACAAGCCCCACCCAGGCGTGAAATTGTTGTCTTGCAATTGTATTTAGCGTCTATTAAATGGAAGTGCAGTGACAAAATGCTGTAATTCATGAATGTTACTGCAGTTTTTGTTATCATTCTTTTTTACCTTAAAGTCCTCACCTTATTCCAAATCCACTGTGTGGGTGTACAGTGTGAAATGACCAAAATTGTATCGCATGTTTCCTTTCTTTTCAAAGCCACCACTTTGTCCTGTTTTAATGCTTTTAAAAGTTAAATAACCATTTAACTTCATTAAAACTCAATCTATTTTAAACCCCAAACCAGAAGAAGCATTAGTTTCCTGCATTAGTTAATCAGCTAAAGTTCTCTGACATGAGTTGTGTTTGTTACTTAAATCTGAAATTTTGCCCCTGTGAATTTAATGAGCGGCAATTAATTACATCAAATATGGGCCATTAAATACAAGGTTATTGCTCTAATTACCAGCAGCTTATTGGTGCTCTTTTACGCACATTTATGGCTTTGTGCAGTGTTAGAGCAGCAACACTGGCAGAGCCGCTTCATAAGAGGGTCACTACTCATTTGACACTGGCACCATTAATGAGGAGACATTGATTACAGGGCCGTGTTTGTGGATTCACAGGGATCCTTTCATGTTTCAGACCTTCCTGATGGTTGTGTTATCTGGATGATTTTGTCCATTGTATGCAGACCATTTTACAGTAATGATATCTTGTATAACATTTGAAGGTGATGTCTATTCAGAAGAAATCCTCTTTCTCACTGGCCTCCTTCCTGGAGAGGTTACCTGGAGATTTTTTCTCCCATACTGAGGTACACACTCATGCACGACGAGTAAAGCAGCATTCCTAGGCTGTCCTGCATCCTCATTTGCATGATGTGCGCTGTGCGTTTTCTTCATAGGAAGATGGCGATGACGACAGTGACTTGTCAGACTACGATGAAACAGACGGGCGGAAAGATGCTCTGGCTGAACCCTGCTTCATGCTCATAGGAGAGATCTTTGAACTCAGAGGAAGTGAGCAGGACACTGTTGTGATGTTACACACGCTCGTGTTGGTGAATTCTAGCTGCCTCAGAGTCTGTTTATCTGAATACGTTCCCTCTCTGTCTGTCTTCCTGCTCAGTGTTTAAGTGGGTGAGGAAGACTTTAATTGCACTAGTCCAGGTGACATTTGGACGAACTATCAACAAGTAAGTACTAACAAGTACTCTTTTAGTCAGTGGTCTGGCAGTATTGTTGATCCAGAATAAAATATCTCATCTGTCGAGTCCAGATCCAGAGGCTTTGTTAACTTATGCAAGGTAGAGAGTGTAACACCTATTGTACATTTTCCTGAGATGAAAGTTTTCAGGCTTCTCTTGTGTATTTCAGACAGATCCGGGACACTGTAAACTGGATCTTCTGTGAACAGATGTTGGTGTGCTACATCAGTGTGTTCAGGGACACCTTCTGGCCTGATGGCAAGCTGGCGCCACATATCAAAGCCCGAACGGACTATGAACGCACTGAGACCAAGGAGCGCGCTCAGCAGAAACTACTTGACAACATCCCAGGTAGCAACACACACACACAGGCGTGACTTATTATTTCATTTATTATGATTGCACATGTTTGCAGTGTAAAAGAAATAAAGAATAAAGTGCTTGATTCAGCATGCTTTTCCTCGTCCACCAGATGCACTCACAAATCTAGTTGGCCAGCAGAATGCCCGCTACGGTATCATCAAGATCTTCAGTGCTCTGCAGGAGGCCAATGCCAATAAGCACCTTCTCTATGTAAGCGTGACACACATTTCCAACATCAGCGTTTCCAACATCACCAGATTTCTTAGCAATTTCTTTTTTCCCTGTGTTTGTTAGGTATTGATGGAAATGTTACTAAAGGAGCTGTGTCCTGAGCTCAGGGCTGAGGTGGACAGTATCTGAACACATGCATGAGAATGAGGATCGGCTGGTTCGTCTTTCAGGCCTTTCTGTAGCTGACCAATCACAAACTGCCAAGCCAGACAGGGAGAGGGCCATTGGGTGAATCCTCAGACAGAAAGCAAGCTGCGTTGGTCAGAGTTGAGATGCACGCAGACTCTGTTCAAAGAAATTTGCTGTGAACCGGTGAAAAGCTGGCCTGACACTCTCCTGACAAAGCTGCTGACAGAAGGGTGCATCTCTAAACCTGCGTTTGGACGGGGAGAAACCACAGGGACTTCTTCCTATCTAGACTGCAGTCTGATGAGACTGATCACAGAAGAACAAAGTGTATTTTTGACTTAAGTAACTCACATCTGTGTTTTTCTTTTAAAAATAATTATAATTCTTTCACTAGCACTGACATTCAGCATCTGTGCCAGAACAGACTGAAATGAAATGTTTTGCTCAAATGTAAATGATGGTGGTTTGGTCGACAACTTCTTTGTTACATCTTTAATTTTTAGAGTAGATAATCGACTGACTTGACTAAAGACAAAAAAAGACAGCTGACAGTCAGACTCGCTGTTGCCCTCTAGAGGCGACCGCTGTGAGTCCCAGCCCACGGACCTCTGAACATTCCTTCTACACACAACCTGAGCAACACTTGTTCTGTGATTCTTGTAATAAGGCTTATAATTGTGCAATATAATGTAATGTAAAAGTCATTGTGATGATTTTATTTATGATTTATTATTGATAGATTTTATTTTTACCAAAAATTGTTTAGAGAGCATTTATATAAGCAATAAATTGCAAACAAAAAGCTGTTGTGAGTTTTGCATTTCTTTGAAAGTGTGTGTGTGTGTGTGTGTGTGTGTGTGTGTGTGTGTGTTCCTAGGAACAGCTAAGATACTGCGCAGGACCCTCAAGCTCCCAGGCCTCTGGAAGAGGACCCAAGCTTGAAGGATTGACCGCCCACAGGGGCGACTGGGGAATTTTTGTTATGTATATGTATATGCACAAAAAAAAAAAAGAAAAAAGCACAATGACATAGTCGCTTGTTTAGAAAGAGCTTAGAGGTCACAGCAGAGATATGTAAGCATTGTGCTACATTTAGTAATGCCAACATATTAAAAGAACAATATTTGTCTCTCATATATAATACATCTATATAATACACTGTCAAAGATACTTGACTTTGAGTGAAGATTTAAGGTGATAGGAAATATAAATAACTGCAACAGCAGTGAGTTCAAGTTCACTGGTGTAATAACTAATAATGGTTAATATAATAACTTTAATATTGGCCATATTATATTTACATTACCAAAGTAAGATGACTTTAGTCTCGTGAACAACATTAGCCAATTGTTATTTCTAGCTAATCTTAAAATGACTGCTCACTCAGTACAGAAATGAAGCCCAACAATCATGTTTTTACAGTCCCGTGGTCTCAGCCTCAGATACATATCAAATCAAAGCTCATGTAGAAACAAACAAACAAATGAACAAAATATTTTTTCTTCATTTCTGTCAAAAAATGCTGTACGAAACATTTCCAGCGGTTAGTATCTTAGTTGCTAGGCAACCTGGGCAGCGAGACGGAGGCTAGACCGTCCCATTTCTCAAGCCTTGCACTTCTGGACTTAGCGGTATTTGAGTACGCGGCCCTTGTGGACCTTTAAGGCTGCAGACCCTGAATTGGGATAGAGCCATAGTGTCGATATGCTAGAGAACATCCGATTGAAAAGCCTGTGATATGTGAACGATTGTGAAATTTTGTAACTAGCTTATAATGGAGATACAGAGAAAATTTGATTTGATGAATTCTCAAATAAAAAACAAATATGTTCCTATTAACACGGACACATCAACATAGTTTCAAATTCGAATGGTTTCTGATAGCTGACACATCACCAAGTATTCCTACACAGTATTTTATTTCGACACCTGCGACCGGAAGTACTGCTATTTGTTTGCGATATACAATCGCTCAAGCCACCGCGATCCTTTTCAAGCTAACGAACACTGCCTCGCAATCATACACCACCTAATGGTAGGTTTGACTTAATTCTAATAACAACAGTACAGAGTTCCAGTAGAAAGTTAACGCTAGCAGCTCGAAGCCAAGTGCTCATTAGCTAAGATTAGCTTTCATGTGCTTTTGTTGTGTTTTTGCTAGCTTTACTTTGCTTTCCATTAGTCAAAGCTAATAAGCAAGCGAACCTTAGCAATTTAAGTCGGTTTAAACGAACCAAACACGTTCTGGGCGTTACAGTTACGAGCACTTTCCATGCTACATACTAATTGCATTATTATATTGCTAGTAGTTGCTAAGCTAATACAGTTAAGCGGGTTAATGCTATCTGTGCCTGGAACTTGACGCCGGTTGCCTGACAACAGTAAATTAAAGTGATAGAACCGACTTGCACGCGAACCGGTGTGTGCTGCAGTTCATATCAGTGATGGCCGTGACGCACTGAACCCTGTATAACATACAGTTTTATCATTTGTTCTCGCTGCAGTGAGCTCTCTGTAAGCTCACTGTAAGCAGGACTAAGTTGTTGTTTCCAGCTCGGTTGTGTAACCTCGCCGGATAGAGATGGACGACGAGCTGGAGAACTTCATCAGGGAACGCAAGGCGAGGGTGGCAGAGGATAAAGCCTGTTTAGAACAAGACCCCCCATACATGGAAATGAAGGTGGGTTAGAAATAAATAATTTTCAAGGCAGGCCTTTTGATAAACATCTGAAAAACAACACAGTTTTAGACCAAATAAGAAGTTTATTGAAGTTAAACTTTAGCCGCCCTCTTTGCCGTTATATGCTGTAACTAAGAAGTAATGTGGATCTTCTTTTCCTTATGACTGACAGGCAAAACCCTACCGAGGCTACGGGTCTACTGCTAAGGAGAACATCCCTCCTAAGGCAAAAGCACAGGGAAGAGGTATAGATCCTGGCCACAATTTGTCACGTCAGTTCATACTTTAAGTTAAATATTATTTAAGTATTTCACTTGTCACTTGAGATTTGTTTTGCATAACACTGTTTACCTTCTGTCTCTATGAAATGTTGATGTGTTTTCAGAGGAGAGCTGCAGTGTGGGTCTCCCCCTTGGTGTGGAGTACGAGAGGAAGAAACAGAGGCTGCAGCACGAGCTTCGTATGGACTACAGGCGCTACATGACTCAGGTGACTGTCACACACTGCCCTGTTTATTTTTCATTCTATAAATTGTTGGGATTTAGTAGACCCAAACATCACAGTTTGCCACAATTCACCCAGCACTATCATCACAGCCTAAAGAGAGCTGCTAGCATCACTTAGGCTGACTTTGACTTCTGTGGGGAATCTTTGTAGATATTACTGATGTAAGTGGCTGAAATTGTTGCTGGCATTTATGCTTGTGTGTGCTGCATTATGGGTTAAGTACATTGTGATTGTGTTTTATACATGATGCCAGCCGATAGCTACAAATAAAATGCTGGGACTTTCGCCCCACCTGGGTCCCCACTCTTTGTCATTGTCCATTTTTTTTCGAGTTTGTCCACTTCTTTGTACATATTCTCATATCCATTCCTATATCAGTCTCCTCTAGCAATTTGCTAACATTTGTGAGGCCTTAGATTGATCCTCGACATGTAGTTACATTTCCAAGGAGGTGCACTTTAGTTACAATGTAGGGTTTCAGTTGGTTTTGCGGTTACAACGTAGCAATATCATGAATTTCCCGCTTAAGTATAAATCTCCAGTAAGGAGGCAAATTTCACCAACTGACTGCCTGACCAGGTCACACCTTTAGATGTGTGTGACTGTGCTGAGTGGGGGTTTTCTCCCCATCGTGGAAAGGTTTGCTGGATATAGGATTTAGAATAAAATGGAGCATTGTTTCTTTGCAGTTTATTGGTGAGAAACTGTTCAATAAACTACATTTTTTTAGACATAGTTCTGAGAGAGATTGCAGACAGATTTCCGTGGCGGTGGCTCGGGAGGTAGGACAGATCCTCTAATCGGACGGTTGGCGATTCGATGTCTTCCTTTGGGCAAAATACTGAATTCCACTGAACCCCCAAAGTGTGAATGTGATGTTAGATAGAAAGCACTTGGACACATTGGGTGAATGAGGCATGTTGTATAAAGCGCTCGTCATGCTGTGTCACAAATATGACAAAGCTGTGTGGCAATTGAAAGACAGTCAGGAATAAGAAACATAGAAACCCAAATAAACATCTGCTCGGCCTGTTTATGTTGCTAATCCTGTGTTAATAAAGTAAAAAATAAGACAAAGGTTTCAGTTGTTCTCCATGTAATACAATGACACACATGAAATATTACACACTCTACTGTAAACATCAGCGTTGTTGCGTACCTATCTGTACACCTGAGGTCGCAGCTCTAGCATCAAAGCCAGTTTTTAAATACTAGCTACAGTCTGCTCATTAGGTTTACACCACCTGTTTCATCTCTGCTTTTATTTTATGTTACAGAAAAAACTGTTTGAACGTGTTGAGACTGCAGGACCATTACTCCAGTTCAATAACAGGAGGCCTGTCAAGGTAAATGTCTTAATGTCTTTTATGATTTTAATATATTTAAAGATCAGATGCTTGGCCGAACAGAATGGCTGCTAAAGTGGATGGCAGATGACAACAGTCCTGCTGAAAAGAATTTTCTCATTTGTTCATTTGGAATAAAAAACTTTTCTTTACCAAAACACTATAAACACAAAAGACTATAAACACAGTTAAGATGCACTGTGAAAGAGCCCACATGTGTTTTCATCAGTGATTCTCAATCCGGGCGACTCTTAGTGGAGCGGTTACTTCTGATGTTACCAGATGTTACATAAGCCATTGTCCTGCATGAATCAACATGTGATTGTTGGGAGGATCATGTTGTGGCAGTGCTGAAGCTGTCCTTTTTCACATGCAGGATGCAGCAGTAGAATGTCTGCTTGCTGGCACTATCTGTCGCTGGTACAGTCACACCTCAAACAGACATTTTCCTTCCTACGTACAACTCTGTTGGCTCAGAGCTTCAGTGTGTGTATAAAAGATGGAGACACCTCAATATGTGCACAAACACCATGTGAATGTCAGTAAAGACTAAAGTTAAAAACTAAGCTAAAACAATAGATCAGCGATTGACATAGAAAGCTAAACACATCGAGTAAACTGTTGCAACAATAAAGGCTTTCATCTAACTTTATAAGCAATTTAAAGCCGTAAACTTTGAAACCGCACTACTCCAAGTGATACTCGTACAAATGCAGTAGTGACAGCTCGACAGTCCATTAATCCACTCTGATGTGATAATGAAAGACTGTAACATCTGATGTCAGATCAGACAGTAGCTTTGTTACTGTACTTGATTTCATCTAACATGACAAAACAAGCACGGTGGTTCGCGCACATGCTGCACAAGAAGGTCCTGAGTTCAATTCCACCATCAGTCTTTCTGTGTGGAGTTTGCGTGTTCTCCCCGTGTTTGTGTGGGTTCTCCCCGGGTACTCCGGCTTCCTCCCACTGTCCAAAGACATGCAGTTTGTTGGGTTAGGTTAATTGATTAATCTAAATTGCCCATAGGTGTGAATGTGAGTGCGCATGGTTGTCTGTCTCTGTGTGTTAGCCCTGCGACAGACTGGCGATAAGTGGCTGGATGGATGACAGAACAAAGGCAGTCTCTTTCTTTCTAGTGATCTCGGTTTATTTCTTCAGTGTTGCCTTGTTATGATGGTGTGTCCTTTAGCCACGCCTGTCTGTGCTCAAACAGAAGGACGTAGCCACTCTAACAGAGGAGAGCAGGATGCTACACAGGCCTCTGTGCCT